TCTCATAAGTTGTGGTTCAGGGGTGTGTGTGTGTGTGTGTGTGTGTGTGTTTTGTGGGACAGCCAGGGAAGTGTCACCAACTTCCTGGGCTCTAGAACTTAGGGAGTTGGGAAACTCTTGTCTTGGGCCCCACATGTATAACTCAGAGGAAATGGGAGGCAGGCAGCCTCTGCCGAGCCAATGACGCCCCGCTGGCTGAGGAGAGAGGGTGGGAGCCGGGTCCTTACCCTTAGCCGTGTATTCAAGCAGAACGTTGCTCTTGTCACTTAGCCGGCAGAACCACGTCCCCGTCTCAAGGTCGGACACTTGCACCAGCTTCTGCTTCCTGGAGATCTTTGCAGTCTGGTTTTCCAGCTGCAGGCTGAGCATCATCGTGGAGGGAACGGGTCCCAACACTTCACAGAGCAACTTGTTCTGCGACTGAGCCACTGCGGAGGGGCGAGAGGCGGGGGCTAGGAGCCTGGGCTTCAGGGTTCCACACCTCCAAGCTCTCAGGGCATTCCGTAGAACCGAAAGGGTGATGCTTTACGTGGGGACCCCGCTCGCAGCCTCTCAGAGAACCTTTTCATGCAGTTTTGATAAAGAGAACACATTTGAATCTCAGTTCTACTGCTTACTCTGGGGTAAGTGACTTCACTCTCCAGGAGGCTCAGATAATCAGCCAATGAATGAGTCCACTTAAAACAGGGCCAGCCAGGAAGGAAGACGCATCAAGTGTTAGCCATCATTGTTTGTGGCTTCGTTTTGATAATTGGGGAGATAAGGATGTGACTAACTTGCCAGAAGTGCATCCTTCACTCTGCCTTACTAAGAGCAGCCTCTGTTATCGCCCTTAAAATCCAGTCCGGAGGTTTCCTCAGAACCAGAGGGTGAGTTGGGCAGAGGCAGACTTAGAACCCCGCTTCTCAGCCCACACCCATTAGGGGGCTCTAGATGGACGCAATCCCAAGCTGGCTCTGGGATGTTGGGGAGGGACTTAGGGATTCGTTCAAAGTTCAAACTCAACCCAAGCCCACGGGCTCTTGATCAGTGTGATCGGGGCCTGAAACCACTTGCTGTCAAGTTGATCCCAACTCCTAGAGATTCCATGTGTGTCGGAGAAGGGCTCTCGATGGCCGCTTTAAAATAAAAAAGATTTTCAGGCCTTTTTTCCGAGGTGCCTCTGAGTGGATGCAAACCACCATCCTTTGGGTTAATAGCTGAGCATGTTAGCCATCTGTCTACCCAGGGACTCCTAACCAGGGCCTAGCTAGGCATCCTCATGTCGAGTCTACATTGCCTTGGAAGGAGCTCTGGGCAGGCACCTCCACCTCCCTATCTTGCCCCCCCCCACCTCCAGCTCAGCCTGGCACCTCACCTCTCATCACCACGAGGCTCACTTTCTGCTGGACTGTTCCCTCCCCTGGGAGACGCAGGGTCAAGTTTCCACAACCAGCATATTGAGGCAAGGCCTGCGGCATGGTGAAGGTGAGCGGCATGGAGCTGTCCAGCTGGAACTTGCTGTCCGATGTTGTGGTCACCTTCTGGTTCTTAAATGAGAAGCTGATCCAGGTCCTGGGGGAGGAGGTCCCCTCTTCCTGCCACGTCAGCTCCCCGTTCAAGTTTTCCCCTTGGAAGTTCAGTGGGAAGGAGAATTTTGCCTGCTCTCCGTCTTTCTTGTAGATGATAGTAGCTTCATTCTGGAAAGCTGAGGGTGGGAGGGGAGAGAACCGGGGGCAGATGGCGGCAGAAGTGCAGGCTAGGCAGGGGTAGGAGAGAGGAAAGGGCGGCCAGGGAAGCCCAAACTCCAAGATGCATATTTCAGGTCCTTTGCAATCTTCCCGACTGTCTTTCCGCCATCCACCACCCCTGGTCTGCAGGCAGCGTCCCTCCTGGGGAAGCCCCGCAGAGCAGCCCAGGAGCCCCCAAACCATTAGGCTTGCCCTGCCTGTGAGAGGCACCTTGGGGCAAAGGTTAGACACTAGGCTGCGCACCACAAGGTGGATGGTTTGAAACCACCCCCACCCCCCCACCCCCGCTGCGCTCCAGGGGAGAAGGACTGGTGACCTGCTTCAGGGAAAGGTAGAGCAAAGCTCTCTCGCCACAGAGCGGGCTCCTCCGCCACACTGGGTCACATTCGATCCGTCAGAATCGAATCCAAGGGCGCGTAGTTGGTCACCCTTCCCAAAATCAGAGCAATCACTTAAAATCAGGTTGACTACGTGCCAGGTGCTGGTCTAAGCGTGTTACATGGCGCAGCACCCGGCTCTCTTGCCGCCAGACTCCAGGTGGGTGTGACTGCCGTTTCATGCCCATTTTACAGATGCAGAAACCAAGGCACAGAACAGCCTGCCCAAGGTCAACTAGCTAGCAGTCTAAGATTCAGGGTTTATTTATATCAGAGTCCAAGCAGGGACGCACCTTGCGCCACTAACCTTCTCTCACATAAGCACCTCGGGGGCGCAAGCTGGGGCCCACCTTGCGTTCCCCTACTTTTGGTCTTTCCTCAGTGCCTCCACACGTGCACTGGAGAATCTCACTTAGTGTCCCTGAGGAAGTGCATACGCCAATGAGAGAGGAGTGGGGAGCTGAGATCCTTGACATTGCCTCTGGGGCCCCACATTTTACATCCTCCCTCAGCATCCCGGAGGACAGATCTCCTGGCAGCCCAGCCCAGGGCCAGAGCAGTGAGAGCCGGAGGAGGGCCTGTCTGCCCTGAAGCAGGAGCAGCTGCGGAGAGAGGGGTTTCTCTTACACAGTACTTGGATGTTGACGCGGAGCTCCAGCGTCTTCTGGCCCTGGGAGACCGTGCATGTCCAGGTGCCACTGTGCTGGGACTGCACCTGGGCCACCGAGAAGCTCTTGTCCTCATTCCTGTTGTTAGCCATTGGGTGCTTCCATTGCACTGAGGGGTTGCTACCCACGGGGCTCTCCAAGGTCAGGGTCAGTTTCTGCCCTTGCAGCAGACGGGTTCCTGGAGAGCTCTTCACTGAGAAAGAACAGGACACTTGTCTCTCTGCTCTGTCGTTCTCTCTCTCTCTCTCTCTCTCTCTCTCTCTCTCTCACACACACACACACACACACACACACACACACACACACACACGATCCCCAAGAAGCTGAGAAATGAAGAGGGTCTCTAGCTCTGTCTCAGTATCAACTTTCCTCCCAACGCCCAGCTGCCCATCCCCAAACCAGCCCTTTCCTCCTCCTCTCTCCCCTCCTTCCCCTCACGAGTGTCTGGTTCTCTTTCTCTTTCTTTCATTGTTTCCTGCCCTTCTCTGTTCCCTCTCTAGGCCTCTCCCCGGCCTGACTCAAGACCTTAGACCTTCCGAGGCTGTGTGCGAGGGGACCTGGGCACCAGTCTGCTCCATTTCTGTCTGTGGAAGGGCCACCACCAACTCAGGCTCTGGTTCTGGTGCAGCGGTGGGTGGAGAGGGAGAAGGGAGATGGGGTGGGGGTGTCCTCATTCCAGGCCCTCCCCACTCACATTTAAACACCAGCAGTTGAACCTCATTCCTCCCGGTCTGCACTTCACAGATGTAATTGCCGGAGTCTCGCATCTCAAGATTCCTTATTATCATAGGAAAAGAGCCTTGATCCCACTCGCTCTTTTTGCACTCGTAGCGGTTTTGCTGTACGGGACCTGGAAGTAGAAGCCACATGGAAGAGGCGGGGCAGCTCCACGGACATGGCCCCTCTGCGGAGGGCAGGGTTCACAACGCCTCGAATCTGATCCCGCAGCTTCTGCCCCTCACACTAATCAGAGAGCCCCATCCATCCGCTTAACCAGCAGGGGCCACATTTCACAACTCCAAAGTCAAACACTGTCCTTATTGTAGAGCATGTACTTCTATGTACCAGGTATTTCACATGAGCCTTTTCAATGAATCTTCACAGCAATTCCAAATATAGCTACTTTTTTTTTAAGGAAGGAAGCAGATTCAGAGATTTAAAAATGACCCAAACTCTTACACATTGTTGGTGGGGATATAAATCCTATATTTCTTTTAAAAAATTATTATTAATTGGGATATAATCCATATATTAATCCATCGTTCAATCACATCAAGTAGAATTGTACAATTGCTACCACAATCAGTTCCCCCAAAATCCTACATTTCTTTGGCAGGTGATTTGTAACATCTATCAGAATTGCAAATGTATTTACAAAAATTAAACAGCCACCAAGAAAAGGAGGCGGACATTTGAGCTTCCTCAGTCAGGAGAATGCTATGCAGTCAAAGAAAAGAGTAAGAACGCTCTTTACTTACCACATGGAGTAATCTCTAAGATGCTTCATGAGCAAAACAAAGCAAAGCATTGAAAATAATGTACGCGTGTGGCCACTTGCGGAAAACGGGAGGAAATATGTCCACTTAGAATGGAAAGTGCTGGACGATGTGAGGGCCCAGCTTCAGTCACCACTGTACCGGTGGTGATTCAGTCTTCTACCACCAGTTTCTGCCCTTCAGCCTCCGTTTCTTCTCCCGTTGAGGTGGGTGGGCGTATCTTCCGGACCTTCTCTACAACTTTTGATCCACTTAAGAACTGTTGTTTTACATGGAGCAGCATTTCCATAAATTTGTGGTAAAACTTCAACGGCTTGGAAAGATGTCCACTGGAGTTTTGTTTTGTTTTGTTTAATAATGTGTGTGTGTGTATGAATTTGGTGGTGGTGGTGGTTTATATTTCAGACCATCAACTTTGCATTCAACAGGTCAAACCACTTATCACACACACACACACACGTATTCCATCCCTGTCTCACTGATTTCTCTTCTTCTTGTGAACCCCATCCTCCCTTTTACCCAAGGCAACCCCGGTCAACCCTCTAGTCCATGAGTTTTATTGCAATTTTGATATTAGCTCTGATCTCAAAATTATTTTTTCTCCCCCTGGCAGAAAAAGTATTCCTTTCTTTGAAGGCATTATTATTATTATTCTTTTCTTTTTTTTTTTTTGCATTGCACCCTGACTGGCTTGTCTCCTGCCCAAGACCCTTCTGTAAGGGGATGTCCAGTGGCCTACAAGTGGGCTTTGGGTCTCTACTCCACACTCCTCCCTTCATTCAAAATGATATGATTTTTTGTTCTGCTGATGCCTGATACCTGATCCTTTCGACACCTCGTGATCGCACAGGCTGGTGTGCTTCTTCCATGTGGGCTTTGTTGCTTCTGAGCTAGATGGTCGCTTGTTTACCTTCAAGCCTTTAAGACCCCAGACGCTATACCTTTTGATAGCCGGGCACCATCAGCCTTCTTCACCTCTTTGAAGGCATTGTAACGAGACTAAGGCAAGCCTGATCCTGAGAGGCCACATCTTCCTCCATCGCGATCACAGATACATGCTTCAGCACTTTCTGTTTGGAATAAATCCGTGCGCCTTGAAACTCCAGTGGCAAAACTTTTAAACGTACATAGATATGTCTCTCTCTGTACTTGTACATATGAGGGGAAATGGAATGAAAAGATAATAGAATGTTCCCACAAACTTTGAAAATTGATATATGTATGTATGTACATGTGTGTGGAAAGAGAGGAGAGAGAGAGAGTGCCTTAGAGAAATACGCACACACGCATGCACACATACTTTTATTTCTGGAAGGGAACATAAAATGAGAATCTTGGTTGTCTCAGAGGAGAGGAAGTGAATACCTAGGGGGCAAATATCAGAGAGACATTTTTCACTATATACCTCTTTCTTTCGTTCTTTCTCTTGCCCCTTTCTATCTTTGGGATTCTAACGCTAATAAATGGATGATCCAAGATTAAAATGTAGGCCATTTGGGTAGATGCTGCTGCAATACTCTCTCTGGAAACTTCCTCAAGCTTTGATAGGTGGTCACCTTTTTTTTTTTAATCATTTCACTGGGAGCGCTTATAGGTAATCACATCAAGCAGTGTTGTACAATTGCTACCACAATCAGTTTCAGAAACATTTTCTTCCTTCTTGAACTCCTTGATATCAGCTCCCCTTTATCCCTGACCCTCCCATCTAGGAACCCTTATTTATTTACTTATTTGCCATATCTTACACCATCCAATAGATCCATTCGCATACAATTCTGCTGTCTGTTCCCCTCAAGTAGGGTTATACAGTCATCAGTGCTATCACCTCCCCTTCCCCGCTCCCCACCCCCTCTCTTCCTGTACCTTCAGGGATCCATTACTCCTGTTGCTGTTTCTAAAGGTTTAGCTATCTTGGCTTTCGTGTATCCAATGATTTTAAGTATACAAATGAACATGTGCAAGTCTAACATGACTAATAAGATAAAATAAATAAAAACCGCAATAGTAAGGGGAGGAAATATTAAAGAACTATCACCAAGAGGAAGTTCTCTTTAGCCAGCCTTTTTTTTTGTTGGGGGGGGTGTACAGTGGCAGGGCCAAATTTCTGTAGAAGAGGGCCCTTTCTCTAAAATTTAAATAATTTCTTTAAAAGGAGCCATTGGTTTAGAAGCGCACTTCAGGGCTTGTCTTAAAGCTAGATCTGCATAGCAAAACCAGCTTGTTACTTCGATTTGTATATTTGGGGGAATGGAGTGAGGGTGCTTGAGGTTAACACCCCCATCCCGACCTCCTCGGCACCATCAATGCCTCTGGAGCAGTAGCTGGCCCTCTCCCTCCACTTGTCTTATTGCAGGAAACCGGAGGCTAGGCTGGCCATGAATTCTCCCTTCTCTTGTCTTCCAGACCCCACAGGATTCTTCCCCGTAGGCTTTCTAGAGAACCTTGTGGCCCACCTCACCCCAACGGCGCCCCTCCCTTCTCTCCCCCATCCTCTTATTTGTCCCTCAGTCACTCACACCCTACTTGCCTTTCCCCTGCTTCCAAATACTGTTTCAGTTCCCCAACTTCATCTGAAATTCAACTACATTCCTTTCATAACTTATCAAACTTCCTCAAAGAGTAGACTACTCTGATTCTGCCCCTTTCCCCTTTTTTAGTTCTCACCTTTATTTAAATGTTTCCTCCCACTTCTTGGCCTCTTGTTTGGACACATAGCTCTGGGTGTCACTCCAGCCTCTTGTCCTCCGTCTTCTCCACTCCTCTGGACTCTCTAAATGCCACTGCATTCCCCTGTCAGCTTTACAGAGGACTCCCAAATATTTATTCCCAGCTCCACCTCTCTCCTCAGTTCTGGGCCTATATTCCCAACAGCACAAGGAACAGCTTTGGGTGCCTATCCTCCCATTACCCAAAACTCAACACAGATCCAAAATGAAACACAGCGCCCTCTTCCTAAAATAATTGCTGCTTCGCTTTTTCTCTTATGTGCCCACCTGGCTCACGGGTCCAGGACACCCCTGGGAGGAGGGTATCTGGCTGGGAAGCCGTGGAAAGTGATGCTCGGAGCGTGAAGGCGGCTAGGCTCGGTCTAATGAGCTAGGGGATGTGTGTGGAGCAGAGCTTTGGAGGCCGTGCTGCTTGGGTGGAGAGCAATCAAAGGAGAGAGAGGTCTCAGAGAGAACCAGGAGGGCCTTTTCGCTGTAATCCAGGTGAGAGGCACCACCTGGTTAAGGGTGGTGGCACTTCCGTCAGAACAAAGGAGAGGATAAGGGAGGAAGGGCTGTGGTTTCACAGGGAAGCAGGGATTGAGCAAAGGGCTTGACGCTGTGGCTCATCAAGCAGGTGATGCTGCCACTGTCAGATCAGGACCAGGAACAGGAGGTGTTCTGGAGGAAGACCAAGCCTTAGAAACAGATGGAAAGCATTCACACAAGAGTCAAGGATTTTGGAAAGTAGCATGTTGTTTCCCTCTCACAGGAGAGCAGAGAAATGCAAATTCAGATAACAATGACATATTTTCAACTGTCAAATTACCAAACTCGTTTTAAATAATAATACCCAGCTCTGGCAAGGGCTAGTAATGGAGCCGCCAGTGACATCACCTCGACTTAGGGTCATGGCCGGAGCCTTTCTATCCACTTTGTGATGCACATCAGCTACTTTTAAAAGTTCATCTCTTTACTTTCATTTCTAAAAGATCAGCCTTAAAACAATCATTAAAAGGGGGGGGCACAGGGAGGAGGCTGAAAATAATAATAATAATTAAAAAACGAAAACCGAAATTTATGTACAAAAATAATCATTATAGAATGGTGCGTAGGGCAACGTCAGACAAGAGGGTAATGGCTGTATATTAGAGTGCATTCATTTGATGGAATATTAGACTGACACCAAAAATGATGTTTAAACATAATTTTAATGAAGTGGAAAACACTCAAGATCTTAGGCTGGGTTACTTAAGAGGAACAAAACCAGTAAAATTAACAAATAAAAATATATTTTAAAAATTTGTTGTTAATTCTGACTCAACAAAACACCAAATTTACTGCCATTGAGTTGATCAACCCTATGGGATAGGGTAGAACTCCCATGGTGGGTTTCTAAGACTGTAACTCTTTTTTTAAAAATCATTTTATCGTGGGCTCATACAATTCTTATCACAATCCATCCATCCAGCCATTCTGTCAAGCACATATGTACATTTGTTGCCCTCATTCTCAAAACATTTGCCTTCTACTTGAGCCCTTAATATCGGCTCCACATTTTTCTCCTTCCCTCCCCCCTTCCCCCTCCCTCATGAACCCTTCATAATTCATAAATTATTATTATTTTGTCATATGTTACACTGTC